AAAAACAAGTAAAGCTTCCACAAAAATCCCTGACTATTCCAGAGGAAAACAAAAAACTGCCAGAAATACAGCTGCATACAAGATGTATATACACACAGCTGGCAAGCCGCTAGCTGAACTGTAGCCCAGTTTAAAGGACGTGCAGATAGGCTTCCTGTAAAATCCATTCGTCAAGACGGTCGTTGATGCGGAACCAGCATTCGTAGCGACCGGCGTGTTTCTTCATGGCACTGTTGATTTTGAACGTAGAGTTGCACCGACATAATTCATCCACGCCGAACTCGACGTCTCCAGTCACACCATACGGCGCCCAAATCTTATCGGCCACTTCCGGAATAGAATGGGCCATCAGCAGGGAGCTTTCCTTGCGCCAGAGGAAGCGCGTTATTAAGGCGCCCGGCAGGAAATTGAAGCGGACCGCACAGACCATCTTCGCTGGATTGCCGTTGCGTACAGTGACGTTCTTCATGGGCGGACTGAAGACCTCATGACGAAAGAGGGTCGCGCTGAGCCAATAGCGCTGCGTCACCACCCGCTGGCTCCCGTTGGAGTGCAGGCACTCGTACAGACCGGTGTAGGCGTACGTGAAATTCGTTAACGCAATGGAAAACGCACCACTGACGCTATTGTATTCGAACAGCCGCCATGAAAGCGATATAACGGGATTGGTGTCTTCCGTGCAGTTGCAGCAACTGTCCTTTTGGTCGGATGGGTCTCCTTTTATGCCGCCCGAGTTGATAACAACTTGGAATCCGTTGTATCGAATGGCCGGCGGAATTGCGATGTGGGAAACCTGCGCGTAAGGACGACAATCTTTCAAAAATCGTTTCGCAGTTGAACTCAACTTGTCGTTTTAGCGACTAAAACGACAAGACGAACTCCACTGCGAAGAAATAGAACTGGTTTGTTTCTTTAAGAAATCAGTTCTGTTAGCATATTACATCTAATATTTGCAGCACTTTACATTTTCATATCTGCATCATTTTTTTCTTCGTTTTTACATTTTATTTTACATAAGTATTTTACATTTACGTGCGTTTTCGATTACGAAAGGCAGTCGTATCAAATGACAAGCAAAACTGTTAATGGCGGTGTGTTGGTATTTTAAGCGCTCATTCCTGCAGTATGTATTTTAAAATAAGCCGAGGGCCCAATTTAGCGAAACAAACTGGTCAAGCGCTAAATCTTAGTTACTGTACATACCTGCGTGCCGTTGGTGTTGTGGCTGTTGTTGCAGTGAATGAGCAGGGTGCCGCCTTCTGGCGCTCGCAGGATCTCAGTGTTCGGGGGCCATTCCGCGATGGGGTACTTTCGGGAGGAGGTACCGCGACAACAACCATCCAGGCGCATGATCCCCGTGCCGTTGCGTTCTCTGGCGCGATCCAAGATCTGATTTACTGCAAGCAAACACGAATAGATAAGAACAAAAGTAGTAGAATGACTAGAATCATTACTTCGCATGGGGCCTTAAGTTTTCCCCTCATATAGTAGGGGAAATTTCGTTTTCCCCGCACATGTGCCGCTTAGTCGCTTACACGAATGCAGCCTTAAGTTGGCTGCAGCTAAAAACCGGTTTCTGGCCAACTCGGCATAATTATCCAGTTGCGCAACTGAACAAGAGAGCAGAGACAACTCAGATAACCGTAAACGTGTTGCCGCAGCGCACGCGGCTTTAAACTGTAGTCAGCTTTAAGCGTGTAAGCGACTAAGCGGCACATGTGCGGGGGAAAACAAGATTTCCCGTACTATATGAGGGGAAAACTTAAGGCCCCATGCGAAGTACTGAAAACTGCAAACCATGACAGGCTTGCGCCCATCTCTTTTTGCCACAGTCTTAGCTTGTTAACTGCATGTACGTGTCATGCGAGCGGATATGCCACACATCCAGCGCCATACAGAAAACTACAAATTTCCCCCCCCCCCTGCCGTAGCTGTACAGTAGCGTACGCTTAGTGACAGTCAGCCCCTGCTGCACCGGACAGCTAAAAGTTCCAGAGAACCCGCTGGCCAAATACAGCAGGACGGCGACTATGGCCATCATAAGGCGATCCATTGTTCGAGATTGGAAAGGAACGAAAATTAAAATGCTAAAAAGATAAATCAGTAACAAGTTAAATCCAAGTGCTACACTGTTGGAAAATCACTCTAGCAGATGCCGCACGATCGAGGCTAGTTGCGTGGAAGCCCTCAACCCAACATTACGGAGGTGAAGTTTTACTAGCTCTTACAATTGCTAGAGTTTTACTGCTGTTGTTTGTTGCCCCTTCTCAAATACGTGAAGTTTAGCGCTAGACTAGTGCAGCCACGACGATAACTTGCGAAGTTACCGTAAGGCCTGCGTGCTTAACAAAGCACTGCATATACGGGCTGTGTTGAGCTGGACGTACGTACGTCACGGAATGTGCTTGTATCCGCTATGAGTACTAGAGTAGAGTCAGTACTAGAGTAAAGAAAGGCAGTGGCGCGACGCTGATCAGCTGATTTATTACTCGCTCCGACGCTCCCTACGCCATCAGCTGTTTGACAGTGGACTGCAAAAATTGAGCACACAACGGACTGGACCAGTTGTGCAATCAGCTTAAAGGACTACATCGGCCAGCGTGTACTGTACTCAGTTTTGCAGTTCGTTGTACTCGTAGAAGTCGTACGGTTCGTTTGGTTGGCCACCTATAGTACTTACAGTAAGTGAATGGGCAATGGTCATTGGAGCTGGGCATCGTGAGTTAAAATCTCCACACACCGTTTTCCTTAGAATTTTCTGCTTTACCGAATTTAAGCATAGCGTAATTGCACTCTTTCCGCAGTATTTAAATTCTGAAGAAATCTTGAATCAATTTCTTGCAAATGTCGTTCAAAAACCGTTAACGAATTACTTTGGCCACACCTATGTCTGGAAATGATGCACGGCAATTTTAGAAGTGGGAAAACCAGTTCACTCGAATCGTTTCTCGGTACTGCAGAGGACACGTTGCCGATTTCTTCGTTTCCGCCTTTAAACGCCCAAAATTCTACGTTTCTATGTACTGCCGTCACCCCGCTAGAGTGTGACGTTGCGGCAGTACACATATGATATGGTTAAACACGGCGCCCGTGTTCAGTTCTAACTTCGCCCTCCAGCCGGGTGACAGCAAAGTACACTGAAACGGTTTGAGTACAACGGTTTTCACCATTCTATAAGGGCTATATAATGTCGGGTCCCTTTCCATGCACATTCGGGCAAATTTTTTTTTCGAGTGTATTTTTCTAGCAATACTACTGTACAGGTACAGTATTATGTGTTTCGTCGCAGTACACGGAAATGCTAAACAAAATCAATAAAAAAATCGCATTATTAGTCAATTATTGATCTTTCTTGTGGTATTGCCGTTCCACTCTTGTTTTGCCACATACTGCTTTCCTGCAAGCTTGCAGTGAGTGATCTGCTTTCTCCAGTACCTGTTCATTTTTATTGCCTTTGCTGTCGCTAGATGCTGCCTGTTTACTGTTTTTTGTCTGAAATACATTTCAGCTAAAGGACGACGGTTTCATCTGAATCACAACAACCTGAAGCATGTATTCATGTTACACTTCATCCCAAGATGCTAAGTGCGGTCCTTTGTTGAGAACTAAGACTGCAGCGCAAATAAGTACTCAGAATACCAGGAATAAGTCGGAAGCGGAAATATCGAGACACAGTGCGATGTCGGGCTTTGCCAGTCACAAGTACAACTGGCAAGGTTCACCACGAACATCCTATTCAAACTGCAAAAGATGGGCTACAGGTGTGATGTGTCAGTTCTCATTGAAACTTAGCGTCTAAAAGTGCATACAGTCCCGCTGGACGTAACGGGACTATCTGTGCTCTAGGAACAGCTGTTAGAGAACCGTCCATTGCAGTACCAACACCATCTCCATACGAGATCACGTACACTTCCAGAGTGCAGGTCTCAGTGTACATGTAGACTACCGTGGGTATTACGGCGATACTGTAGCAAGGATTTCCATCGGTCGACAGCGTCACACCATTACCCACGGGCGGTGTCTGGATGCTTATGTATTGCAAGGTAAATAATAAAATTATGTGACGCTAGAATCCACCACCGTTTGGGTCACAGGCTCCTCACTCACAGGGGGGTCTCCGCTAACAGGCTGAACGGTCGCAGGCTCCTTAGTCGTAGTTCCCCTTGTCACAGGTATCGTACGCTCGTGAGTCGGAGGCCCCTCAGTAACAGCCTCCTCAGTAACACGCTTATTATCAGTCGAAGGATCAGTAGGCATCTCTTCTGGGGGAACCATTCGCGTGGTGTAACCTGTAACCACGGTGAGCATGCACATGGAGTTCACAACGGTTTCCGTCAAGGTTGTTGAGAGTGTGAGACAAGGCGGTAAGCACACTGTCGGTGAGCAAATTGTCACGGTCTCGGTAATCCGCCGCCAATAAGTGCTGACGTCACAAGTGGGTAGCGCTGCGTTCGTGGCACTGCTGGTCGGTGTGGGTTGGATGCAATGACTGCAGTTGCTCTTCGCGGCGTACACGTGCTGCCCGCGCCACGGTACCGGTCCGTCACCGGACCCCGGAGCGGCGTAGTACTGCGTGGTTGCCGGGGTCTATTGGCGTATTTTCAATGGGGTCTTTGCCGATTGGTGGTTGGCGTAGTAGGCGTTGCCCAACGCCATTCCTGGCTGGATTTGATACTCAGCAATGGCGGCCTTGTACCGGGACTGAATTCAATGCGGCTCGGGTCGAACTAGCCCCAATAAAGAATCCATTTCCGGTACGAAATAAACCACTGGAATGTATCGTAAAAATCATCACAGAATGAACGGCGCGACTGCGGTAAACATTTTGCGATTCAACCTTAGACCATTCCACAAAAAAATAATGATGCTTGAAGAAACTGTGACTATTCCAGAGAAAAGGAAAAAAGCTTCAACAAAAATCCCTGATTATTCCATAGGTATCACATCTATATATAACATGACTGTACACGCAGCTGCTAAATCGCTAGCAGAATGATGGATTAAACGACGTGCAGATAGGCCTCCTGCACGACCCACTCGTCGAGACGGTCGTTGATGCGGAACCAACATTCGTAGCGACCGGCGTGATGCCATGTGGCACTGTCAATTTTGAACGTAGAATTGCACCGACACATTTCATCCACGCGGCCTGCGCCGAACTCGTAGTGTCCAGTCACACCATAAGGCTGCCAGATCTTATCGGCCACCTCCGGAATGGATTTGGCTATCAGCAGGGAGCTTTCCTTGCGCCAGATGAAGCGCGTCATTAAGCCGCCAGGCAGGAAATTGAAGCGGACCGGGCAAACCATCTCTGCTGAGTCGCCGTAGCGTACGGTAACGTTCTTCATGGGCGGACTGAAGACCTCGTGACGGAGGAGGGTCGCGCTGAGCCAGTAGCGCTGCGTCACTACCCGCTGGCTCCCGTTGGAGTGCAGGCACTCGTACAGACCGGTGTAGGCGTACGTGAAATTCTTTAGCGCGATGGTAAACGCGCCAGTCAAGCTACTGTAATCGAATTGCCGCCAGGAGAGCGGTATAATGTAACCGGACGCTGATTCAGTGCAGTTGCAGCGAGTGTCTTTCTCGTCGGATGGCAATTTGTGGTCTCCGCTTACTCCTCCCGAGTCGAGAGCAACTTGCAATCCGTTGTATGCAATTGCCGGCGGAATCGCGATGTGGGAAACCTGCGGGCAAGAACGACAATCTTTCAAAAGTCGTTTCCTAGTTGAATTCAACTTGTCGTTCTAGCGCCAGAAACGACAAATTGAACTCAACTGCGAAAAAAACACAACCAGTTTCTTTACTTAATAAATTCATTTTCTTAGCACATTACATCTAATAATTGCAGCATTTTACAATTTTCTTAGTGTGCGTTATCGATTACGAAAGGCAGCCGTATCAGATGATAAGCGAAACGGTTTATGCCGCTGTGTTGGTACATTCAGCACTCATTCCTGCAGTACGCATTGCAGATATATTTTAGAGTCAGCCGGGCCCAAATAAGCGAAAACAAACTGGTCAAGCGCTAAATCTTAGCCGAGCCCAAAATAGTGGAATTTTAATGACTGACGCCCCCTGGGGGGTGGGCTGGGGGCCGGAAGGGCGGGGGGAGGGACAAGAATTTTTGAACTTCGAAAATCATGCAGGACATTTTTGTATGTATAAGTATGTTGCGAGTGGCACACGCTTTACATAATGCCACCGCAACGAGACTCGTTTTATTGTACGAGTATTACAGTACTATTGGTAAAATGAGATTTTAACATACTCCGCTGTATGAAAAATAGCCAACTAGGTGACATGAGAAAACATAATTCTATAACCATAGCACGAATGAAGTGTCATTCGTGCTATGCTATGACACACTACGGCTCTACGCTCTCCTGTTCTAACAGATATACGTACACTGCAGTGCTCTAAAGAACGGAACGCAGTTGGCCGACGTAACGATTAAGGTGACAGTGAGTTTCGCATAAACCAATGTAATTAAACTATTATTATTCTTAATAGTTGTGTACTTTTAATTTATTTTTAAATCGCAGACCCTGTGTCACGACGTGGAGCGTCGTGCTCTTTAATAATTAACCAACTAAATACGTAACTAACAAATATAACAAGGTATAAATACAACATTGCACTGGCACATGTTGCCATGCATCACATCTCCCTTTGTTAAGAAAAAGTTTCTTAACACAGAAAATTGCGGAATTTCGCATTAAATTGCAGAAAAAAAATCCAACTGTTAGTGAGACTGGTACATTTACCGCCTTTGACAAAAGTTTAATAATATTAATTATTATTTTCAGAGACAAATGTTTAAAGAAATTTGCAAAAGTCTAAATAAATAAATATTAATATAATTTTAAAATGAAATAAATTTCATTAGGCAAAGGTTAAACTTCGAAGGCTGGCTAGTCCATGTTCGAATCGCGCTGATGCGATGGAATTGAGTCTCCTTGGAAACGTTGCTGTGGTTCGCAAATAATGACCTTCACTTGAAGAACTGGGGAACCAGGGAACTTGAGTGGGCGTTTCCCTTCTCGCGTTGCCTTAAATGGCTGAATACGGACGCGGCTCTTCGTATCCATAATAGCGGCACTGCTCTGCTCTGTCCTTCGATGTAGGCTCGGGCAGGATTTGGCTGCTGACTCTGCTCTGCTCACTTATCTGGGAGTCTGGCAGTATCCGTAAAGGTGCGCGGACTGTGTTCCGCCGATGGCCACCATTGCTCGGTACCTAGTGGGAATCTGGCAATACTATTTTGGCCAAACATCGCATGGGCGGGGTTGGTCATTTCCCTTCTCTCCTCCCACGGTATAAAAATTATTTGCCAATTCAGATCGAGTATAACCATTAATTAATATTTAAGATTACTTCTTCTGAGTGTTTTAATATAACATTTCCAAAAATTTACACGAGTTTTCAGAATACTACATCTCATCCTTCACGCCAATTCTGTCACGACGTGGAGCGTCGTGCTCTTTAATAATTAACCAACTAAATACGTAACTAACAAATATAACAAGGTATAAATACAACATTGCACTGGCACATGTTGCCATGCATCACACCCTGTCGTCTTTTTTACTGCAGTTTTTCGCCTTCGAAAGACTGACTGTTTTCCCGTACAGTTTCACAAAAACCTTTAAAGATTGACGCTTGTGTCAAATAATGGACACTATTTTAGGCTCCGAATCTTACAAGTTAGTACATACCTGCGTGCCATTGGTGTTGAGGCTGTTGTTGCAGTGAATGAGCAGGGTGCCACCTTCTGGCGCTTGCAGGATCTCAGTGTTCGGGGGCCATTCTGAGATGGGGTACTTTCGGGAAGAGGGACCGCGACAACAACCACCCAGGCGCATGGTGCCCGTGCCGCTGCATTCCTTGGCTCGGTCCAAGATCTGATTTACTGCAAGCAAACGCGAATAGATGAGAGTAAAAGTAGTAGAATCATTACTGAAAACTGCAAACCATGACAGGCTTGCGCTCAACCTTCTCTTTTTGCGACAGTCTTAACTTATGAACTGCATGTACGTGTCATACGAGCGGATATAAAACGCCCATGCCACACATCCAGCGCCATACAGGAAACTACAAATTTCCCCCCCCCCTGCCGTAGCTGTACAGTAGCGTACGCTTAGTGACAGTCAGCCCCTGCTGCACCGGACAGCTAAAACTTCCCGAGAACCCGCTGGCCAAATACAGCAGGACGGCGACTATGGCCATCATAAGGCGATCCATTGTTAGAGGTTGGAAAGGAACGAAAATTAAAATGCTAAAAAGATAAATCAGTAACAAGTTAAATCCAAGTGCTGCACTGTTGGAAAATCACTCTAGCAGATGCCGCACGATCAAGGCTAGTTGCGTGGAAGCCTTCAACCCAACAATACGGAGGTGAAGTTTTACTAGCTCTTACAATTGTTAGAGTTTTACTGCTGTTGTTTGTTGCCCCTTCTCAAATACGTGAAGTTTAGCGCAAGACTAAAGCAGCCACGACGATAACTTGCGAAGTTACCGTAAGGCCTGCGTGCTTAACAAAGCACTGCATATACGGGCTGTGTTGGGCTGGACGTACGTACGTCACGGAATGGGCTTGTATCCGCTCTGAGTACTAGAGTAGAGTCAGTACTAGAGTAAAGAAAGGCAGTGGCGCGACGCTGATCAGCTGATTTATTACTCGCTCCCTACGCCATCAGCTGTTTGACAGTGGACTGCAGAAATTGAGCACACAACGGACTGGACCAGTTGTGCAATCAGCTTTAAGGACTACATCGGCCAGCGTGTACTGTACTCAGTTTTGCAGTTCGTTGTACTCGTAGAAGTCGTACGGTTCGTTTGGTTGGCCACCTATAGTACTTACAGTAAGTGAATGGGCAATGGTCATTGGAGCTGGCCATGGTGGGTTAAAATCTATACACACCGTTTTCCTTATAAGTTTTTGCTTTACCGAATTTAAGGATAGCGTAATTGCACTCTTTCCGCAGTATTCAAATTTTGAAGAAAATCTTGAATCAATTTCTTGCAAATGTCGTTCAAAAACCGTTGACGAATTACTTTGGCCACGCCTAAGTCTGGAAATGATGCACGGCAATTTTAGAAGTGGGAAAACCAGTTTACTCGAATCGTTTCTCGGTACTGCAGAGGACACGTTGGCGATTTCTCCGTTTCCGCCTTTAAACGCCCAGAATTCTACGTTTCTATGTACTGCCGTCACCCCGCTGGAGTGTGACGTTGCGGCAGTACATGTATGATATGCTTAAACACGGCGCCCGTGTTCAGTCCTAACTTCGCCCTCCAGCAGGGTGACGGCAAAGTACATTGAAACGGTTTGAGTAAAAGTTGTACGACGGTTTTCACCATTCTATAAGGCTATATATCGGGTCCCTTTCCATGCACATTCGGGCAAATTTTTTTTCGAATACATTTTTGTAGCACTGCTACTGTACATGTACAGTATTATGTGTTTCGTCTCAGCACACGGAAACACTAAACAAAATTCAATAAAAAAACGCATTGTTATTTAATTATTGATCTTTCTTGTGGTATTGCTGTTCCACTCTTGTTTTGCCACATACTGCTTTCACTGCAAGCTTGCAGTGAGTGATCATTCTGCTTTCTCCAGTACCTGTTCATTTTTATTGCCTTTGCTGTCGCTAGATGCTGCCTGTTTACTGTTTTTTGTCTGAAATACATTTCAGCTAAAGGACGGCAGTTTCATCTGAATCACAACAACCTCAAGCATGTATTCATGTTACACTTCATCCCAAGATGCTAAGTGCGGTCCTTTGTTGAGAACTAAAACTGCAGCGCAAATAAGTACTCAGAATACCAGGAATAAGACGGAAGCGGAAATATCGAGACACAGTGCGATGTCGGGTTTTGCCAGTCACAAGTACAACTGGCAAGGTTCACCACGAGCATTCTATTCAAACTTCAAAGGATTGGCTACAGGTGTGATGTGTCAGTTCTAGGTAAAACTTTGCGTCTAAAAGTGCATACAGTCCCGCTGGACGTAACGGGAGCTATCTGTGCTCCAGGAACAGCTGTTAGAGAACCGTCCATCGCAGTACCAACACCATCTCCATACGAGGTCATGTCCACTTCCAGAGTGCAGGTCTCAGTGTACATGTAGACTACCGTGGGTATTACGGCGATACTGTATCAAGGATTTCCATCGGTCGACAGCGTCACACCATTACCCACGGGCGGTGTCTGGATGCTTATGTATTGCAAGGTAAATAATAAAATTATGTGACGCTAGAATCCACCACCGTTTGGGTCACAGGCTCCTCACTCACAGGGGGGTCTCCGCTAACAGGCTGAACGGTCGCAGGCTCCTTAGTCGTAGTTCCCCTTGTCACAGGTATCGTACGCTCGTCAATCGGAGGCCCCTCAGTAACAGCCTCCTCAGTAACACGCTTATAATATCAGTCGAAGGATCAGTAGGCATCTCTTCTGGGGGAACCATTCGCGTGGTGTAACCTGTAACCACGGTGAGCATGCACATGGAGTTCCCAACGGTTTCCGTCAAGGTTGTTGAGAGTGTGAGACAAGGCGGTAAGCACACTGTCGGTGAGCAAATTGTCACGGTCTCGGTAATCCGCCGCCAATGAGTGTTGACGTCACAAGTGGGTAGCGCTGCGTTCGTGGCAGTGCTGGTCGGTGGGGGTTGGATGCATTGACTGCAGTTGCTCTTCGCGGTGTACACGTGCTGCCCGCGCCACGGTACCGGTCCGTCGCCGAACCCCGGAGCGGCGTAGTACGGCGTGGTTGCCGGGGTCCATTGGCGGATGTTCAATGGGGTCTTTGCCGATTGGTGGTTGCCGTAGTAGGCGTTGCCCAACGCCATTCCGGACTGAATTTGATACTCAGCAATGGCGGCCTTTTACCGGGCTGAATTCGATGCGGCTCATAACCTATCTGTACCGCGGCATCACTTGGCCGTGCACGCTCTGTAAAACCATGTACCTGGAGATCATAACTTGGAGCTTCCAAAAGAAGCAAAAACACGATCACAAAACAACCCAAATCTATTGTGCGTAATGTTAGAGGTTTAGGTTGAATTCAAACCGTATATCAATAAATCAGTATAAGAACATAGTTCGCGGCTTAGCGCTCGGTTAAGACAGCAACTGTAAGGTGACCTTACAGTTGCTGTCTTTACCGTGCGCGAACTCTGCTCGTATACTTAGTTATTAAGCAGCGTTACTTTATTAAAATAATTTACACAGGCTTACTGAAGCAAATATAATCAGTATAAAACGAAAGCCGTTAACTGCCGGCAACATTTTGACACGTGCTCCGTGGTGACAGATGTGCAGACTGCAGTATGAAAGAACACCTAGTAGTGTAGATCGTACGGAGCAAGATTTGTTAAGCCGGTCAGTCGCAGTCATGAGTTCCGCCGAAAGCTTTGCATATAGGGGACTCGTATGATATATTGGGGCTTTTAACGGTGCCAGCTTTCAACAAGTACTGTAAATGAAAAGCGAGCTGATGGACGCACGCTAACTGCTCTGCTTCTTGGCCAATCGCAGTCGACAATGCCGAAAATTGTCCACTTATCTCTAATGGTGCGATATTTATCTCGTCAGTTTTGTAATGAGAGACATTTAGAAGCGGGAACGTAAACCGCGAAACTCGAGATATTGTTTATTCAACTTGCAAAACAATCCAGCGGCAAGGAGGAAACACTTGCAAAGCACACGAAACCTTCTGGCCGAAGATCAGTTTGGCGAATGCCCGGGAAAGCAGGTCAAACGGCAAAACAGAGCGACATGTAAAGTCGTTAAAATTACTTGCAGTTGTGATCAGTTAAAGTCCGTAATCATACAGTACTTCTACAATCTTCTACAAACTTCTACAATCTACAATCTTCTACAGTCTTCGCTTGCTCAGTTCAAGTGCGGATCTTATTTTCTGAATATTTTTTGCTGCGAAGACTAGTATCCGGGTTGCTATTTACGTGTGTCAAACTGAGCGCCGGTCTCGGTGACCTTTTGCCCTGCCGTTTGCCTGCTGTACTTCGACCCCCACCAACATGGGATCAAAATCGGCGTCCAAACTGTCTCAACGAACTATTCCTGAACTCTTGGAAAGCTTCAAGGACGAGATTTCAAAGAGCACAACGTCTACTTATAAAAGCCTGAAAGCAGCAATCGACGAATTGTTGCCTCTAATGAGTCGCATGGTCAGCCAAAACATCGAACAGCACAACAGAATTCTGGATTTGGAGCGGGAAGTGCATGAACTGAAGAAGAAACAAATCGCCACTGCGCTGGTTGCCATTCCTCGTGTCCCTGAAAATACCGCAGCAACGGCTACCACTGCCAGAAAGAATGGACCTCCTATCCAGTCAACCGCCTCGAAAACTGGAAAAACCTATGCGCTTGTTGTCTCAGCGGAAAAACCTACACACGATGCCAGCAGTGCAGAAGATGTCGTTGATGAAATTGAAAGAAAGCTGCCCCAGTGCATTCCTAATGCCAGCGAGAGATTCAATATGGAGCATGTTCGCCGTACACAGAATAACAATATCGCCATCCGGTTCAAGAACGAGAATGACAGAGAGGCCGCGCGAGCAGAATTGGACAAGCACAAAAAAGATTTGGGAATAACGGTGATTGAGACTCGTAAGCGCGTACATAATCCTATTCTGTACGTAATGTTCACCCGTTATCCGCGAAAGCATCTCGGAATCAAAGTGTACATACAACACATTTTAATTTTAACACTTGCTGTGGTGATTGATAGGAGCAAAATTAGTTACTTATATTTTATTACTCCTGTAATATCTGTAAGAAAGAATAGAAGTACAGGTACACATGAGCGCTGCACTTGCGGAAAAGTCAGTAAACCCGTCGCAAAGAATGAAATTACAAGTAGTCAAGTAGAAAACCGTAAACCTGAAAACGACCGCCATTCACGGCCGGCAGCATTTTGGCACGTGCCATTATGACAGTACAGTACGGAGGTAAGCATTATGACAATACTACTATACAAAAAAGTAATAACAAGCGAACAGCAAACTATTACAATGCATAACATACAATGGACGACAAAAAGAGGTTGAATTAGACCGGCCAGTGTGCGGTCGCGCCTCATCAACTTCTTTTTGTCGTGCACTGCACTTACATTCGAAAGTCAGCTAGCAGAAATCTGCATTAAAGAGTTTGCGAAACGTACCTGCTGCGGTGCAACTACAAAAATATCTTATTATGCACACGTCACAAATCTCAGTGGTAGTGCTAATGCATAGTACTGCTAAATTCCAGTTCCTCAAAATAAAAATGTCAGCGGAGAGCCACTGCGTTAACTACAGCAAAGAAACAGTCTATCGAAAACAGCCCATTGCTACTTAAATAACCACAACAGATCCTGGCTTCGTCTTGACGGACAAAACACTCCACAGCAATAACGGCGGCCGTGACCATCCACCTCATTTCCTGACGCGCAACATATTGTTAATCTTTCGTGACCGATTGGTTTCGCCGACCACCCAACTGTTAGCGATCTCGGCTTCATAGGATTGCTCTCCGTATACCACCGTCAGGATGTGCAGGCCCGCCTGGCAGTATTCGATAAGCACCTGGAAAGCATCTCTGCACATAGTCTGCAGTTGTTTTTTAGCCGGTCGCGACAGCTTCTTAATCCGATCCTGCACGTGCTTCTCTAATGCGTCAGCAGCGTAAAGTGCGGCCAGCCCCAGCAGCATAGCGCCGAACGGTTCGTATTTGGGATAGATGATTCTAAAAAAGTCCAGTTCAATGCTAAATTATTAAAACGCTGGCAAATTAGGAACTAAAAAATTTTAAGAAACCCCAACACAATCGCACGAAAACCAAACGAAAATGTGAACCAACCATTATTTTTTCCCATTTTCCGAATCCTGCTTGTCACGAGACTCACGACGGCATACAAGTTCGAAATCAATAGGGAAATTATTTACCGCATGCTAGCCACCAGTTGCTGCGTCATCTTCCAGCCGTCCTCAAAGCGGTCCTCTTCAAAGTATTTCTGCGGCAATCTCCAGCCGCAGACCAAACGGAAATGCGCATCCGGCTGAAGGATGCCGGCCGCATCCATCTCCTCACACATCACTAATCTCATGGCTTCGGGCATATTGGGCTGCGTGGGACTGAAGGCCTTGTAGTCCGCTAACCGCTGCTGGTACCGGCGGAATTCCTTCAGGCGTTCGCTGTTGATGGCTCCACATTCCGTACATGCTTCCATCGCCCGACGGTCGCTGGGAATCCGGTTACTACAGCCGGCTGTCACACACTTCAGGAGATTGATTTCCGCGTCCTACGAAAGCGTCAAAAAGTCTGACAGTGATAAAGGCTGAGACTGAACTTTGATGTTCTTCTGCACCGTACATATTCTTCCGTGCATTTCCGGCACGTGCATGGATGTCCGGTACTCTTCTCGAAATCGGTGCGACGCACGTCTCTCGTCGTGAAAGTCTGCTGGCGCATTTCACTGAAGCGTAGCTGGAAAATAAATCGGTGGTTCAATTCAAATACCGAAATACAACTTTGCCGCACAGCCCGTGACCAAGTAAATCCTGATAATTGATCCTAATCCAGATAATTAAATTTCTTAATTAATCTAGCTCTCCTATCCTCAACCGTTGTACTAATCAAATTTCGAGAAAGGACTGCTTATGTATAAGAAAGTAAATCTGATAGTTCTGAGGTTCTCCCGCGCTGGCCCCGCAGGACTTAGAAAAAGGAAAATCAGGTGCAAGATTGCTTAAGATGAAGTCTCAGGTTTGGTGGCTATGAGAACTAACGATATAATTCTATGATTTCTATCAACACTATTTACTAACACTACTCAGCAAGGAATCTAACGGTAACAAGAGCAGGCTTATCCTATCCAAACACGGTCGGGAAACCGCCTTGCATTTAAATAAGTACTGTAGCGATAGAAGTTAATAAATATACCGCCAGTAGGAGCCTTGCTCTTCATTCATTGGTTGTTGTTGTGATATAAATGTAAATCAAAATCCTAATTTCATCAAATTTTTAGCGACAGCATGCCACAGTCACATTCTTCTAGGAATGAGTGTATTCTTGTTGCTGCAGTCTTGCCCCTAATTGCTCCTGGCCCCGGCTTACTTAACTCGCTGAACCCTTGCTCTAAGCACTTGCTAATAGAGTTCTGCTGTGAAGTCTTTGCCAACCAAACTGGCTACTGTCGACCGTTTAGTCGTATTAATTTTGATGCCATTTGGACAAAGAGTTCTGTAGATTATGGCCAAGTACTCGTACGTGTTTGCAAATGAACCCTCACCTCACTCACGACACTTCGAAACCATCCTTGTGCTGGCAACACCCAGTGGCTGTTACCGATTAAACGAGTGTACGAGTACTTAATAATAATATACATTCAGTTACCTAAGGAAGTGATTACTTAATCAATTAATTACTTATTCAATTACTTTACGTACTTTAGTTACTTGTTAACTGGCAATAACCGATTCAGGAAAGCCACACGCGAAATTTTAAAATAAAACACAAGCACTGCTGTAGAGAGTATCGGAAGTCGCAGACAGTAAACTCACATCCTGCAAGCCATTGTATATCGGAATGTCCTCCGTGGCGTGAATGACCATACGGCGGCCCGGAAATTGATAACAACGTTCACATCCCAGCACACCGCCGTCATGTCGTGCTGCGGCGTCAGTGGGTACACGGCAAACCCGTTGGGTGTGTTGCCGCTGACAATGGGTGAATTGAAGATAGTCTGCGTGTTTTTCGCGACAATGCCGTGACAGGCGAGGATATCCAGCATAGTGACCCCTGTTGACGGGTCCATCTCACGCAATCTGTGAAGGACATCAACAGCTGAAAACCACAACGAAGACACAGAGACGAGCGCTTTAGGTCTACGCACTCCATCGTCTGCTGGATGACGTTCTTGTCCTGAACCAAAGGGTGTTGCGGGAGACTGTCCAGAACTTCTCGCGCTGTCCGCAGTCCCTGGCCGGGCACATCGACCCTCACGTTCAACTACAAAACAGCGTTTAATTAAAATGCCGCGCACAGTACGGTCGCATGCGTACCGGAATTTTTTTCCCTACCGGGTAGTAAATTACTTAAAATTTTCTCAAGCAACTGCCATGTACTGATTTACATATATATACATATGTACACTCAAACTCAAATATCCAACAGCCAGAACAACTAAAACAACTCTTCTAGCTCTTCTGAATTGCATCGGGATTTATATCGCAGTTAGGTAAATTGTTAATTTAACAGCAACTTCAGTAGTTGCACTTTTTAAGCGCATTCTCTCTGACTACTGTCCACTTTGGTAACTTAATCGGTCATCAACAGACAATAGTTTGATATTTGAGTGCAATTATATAAATATAAAACTTTACCGGGAAAGAATAAAGTTGTTGACAATAGTGATTTTGGTTGTTTTTTCAATTCTTGATTGTGCAGTATTGGCCGTAGTGGATTGATTGACTGTTATGTCGCTGAGTGAACATAAATAAAAAGTAAATTTGTTATTAATTGCACTAATAAAAATTATGTAAAATTGTGATTATTGTAATTACCGTAACTGTAAAATAAAAATTTGATATGAAACTGTAGTTACTTATAGTTAATTACACTGAGATAACCGAATGTACCGCTATTTTATGGACCATCTTAGTCAACAGTTCCTGCGGAGGCTGAAAACTGTAGACTGTCCCGATGCCCGACGAATGGCTACTCGACTCCATCTTCGTCCCTGCTTCTATCTTCGCCAGCAGGGAACACTCTAATCTATGCTCCAGTTTCCAGTCGGCAGTCTATCAAGTCAATCCAAGACACATTACACAGAAGACATGAGGATAACAATTTCAGTAAAAAACGGCAAATGATATGCGTACATGTCGTTCAATTCATATTATACACTGCATAATACAGTTCTCGGACAAAAAAACTGAATTTATGTGTACGAGGGAACTGTGCAAAGGAACCATATTATTAGGTATGTATGCTACATCAATGGCTTAATACTAACTTATTCTATCACTTTTACCTGACAGGTGACGCTGCAGTAGCGGTGCAGACGACATCCGGTACACGTACGCAAGGGCTCCTTATTGCGGAAGCAGAAAGCGCAGTAAGTCTTGTAGCAGCTGGGCTCCAAGGCCCACACAAAGGGATCACACGCCATGACAACATCCCCACCGGCAAACGAGCGGCGAACATTCTCTGGTACAACATCGCGGCTCCCCATTTCCACAAGCAGATAAGCGCGCGGCAGCAGCAATAATCACAAACTACGATGTGTCGGAATCGCGAAAAAATATACCGCAAATAATCTTTTTATTCTAAGAACGCAGTACTACGCTGTCAATGTTCCCTGGTGCGGCGATTTACGTCGAAATAAATTTATGCACTGTTTTGCAGTAATCGAAAATAAGGGCCGTACGGTCGTGCTGCCTGAGCCGGATAAACAGAAGCGTGGCGCAAATGGGGATTCCGGATTTCGTATTAATATCCGTAATCCGCAGCAGGCTTTATCGCTGGTTTACTTGGTTCATTCCTTGAGGCAACATACTTTTAATAAGTATCACACGTAAGCACAAAACCGAGTCCTATAACAAAATTCATAATATAAACACTTTATTACGAACTATAACAAAATCCATTGTAGCCTTTAGATTGTAAAATATGTGACCTGACGCAGTATGAAACGACACTTCGGTAAAACATTACAGTAACTTCAAGCAGACCAGGCACAGGTGCGTTTGCGTTAGTAAATACTGTCACGCTGTGTGCTTGATGTATGCAGCAGCCGCCCCAGGTGGCTGCCGGTGTAGAATTCATGCATTTCCTTTGGAAATGATCAGTTTGTTGCTTTCCTTTTCCCATATTTCTGTATTTTTCCCCTTTTGGGCCATAAACTCTTCTTTTGTGGGAGACCAGTGCTCTCCCACATCCCGATTTATCTGTTATTTCGAGGGGGTGTTAGACCTTTCTCGTTACAATACTAATTACCTGAGAGAGCACGTTCGACTGTTCTAGAAAAGCGGCGGCTTGCAATGATAATTGCTACCGAGTAGGTCAGTACATCACATAACATGAAACAACTATCCAACACTTTTTGCATCTGAGGTCTCCAAGATTTCAGCGTGCTACGAATTACAGAATTTCAAAACTAGAGAAGACTTCCTTAAAAATGCGGCAGTCCCGCGGCAGATACCGTGGTTGCCTCGTTTTCAAATAAAATTCGTGTTAAATTCTCATTAATTTAATTTTTATGCCACCAAGAGCGCCAAATCTAGTGCCTTAGCCAACTAATGGCTTTTCGGAGTGCACTTCACAACATTAACCTGAAGTATCTAACGGGTCAGGGCAGCAGTATGACTGTGGGCGTGGCCAAACTGTAGGATGACCTCCTTCGCGATGTAACCGTGCAACCATAGGAAGTCCTCCTTGACCATGTGCCAAAAATACGATCTTGGGCGCTGACTTTTTCACCACCTTCCGCAACAAAAGCGCGTTATTACACATCCTAGCAACAGTTTTCAGTCGCCAGCAGCCCTTTTTTCTACGAGCACATTTTTTGATCGAAAAAACGCTTTTGCTCGCTTAGGCGTTGTACAGGCTTGTCTAGCCTTTGAGTTTAGTCCACAAAACACTCTCTTGATTGCATAATTCTAAGCGCTAAAGAAGAAGTTATACCATGTCGGGTAACAAAAATTCTAATTTTTCGAACTTTGTGATTGCATTTAGTATGGTCTGACCTAAACTGCACACCACACCAATTCCTAACAAATTTCAATTTAAAAAGTTATTCAGTTTTTTGTGCGAATTGCTGTCATCATTTTGGCGGACTGGCGATCTTTCTGCTCTGCTGCCACCTGTGGTCAAATCGTTTATTTGAATGACCGCAGCTGGCAATGAAACGGCACGTCCATATGAACGCACTTTCCGCAACGGTTCAGGAATAACAGCCCACTGGCAAGTGCAAAAGCGAGCAGACCGAAATCTTGTGTACGCAGTAAGGACAAGATGAGATAACAAAAGCCGTGAGACAAAGGGAAAGACATAACACTGTTCCGTGAGCGCTCACTACTCACCAGTGGTCATTCTGTGCATACAAGAGCAAACTAACTGTGGCGGCACTGTAGGCGCAAAAATGACAGGTTCGGCGAAAGTGCAGAACAAAGAAAGTTCTCCGCTGAATTCTGAGCAATTTGGCAACTTCAATTCGTAAAATCAATAACTAATTCACAAATCGTAATTAAATTCTTAGATTTGATCAGAATGTAGAAAAATCATTTGCCAACAACTTTAGGGAGGCTTTTTTTGATAACTGTATTCTAACTCTCAACAGAAAAATAAAAGTGACTTCCGGTGGACAAAAATGCAAATTTTAGACGCATTTTAAACTTAAAACAAAAAAACTCTTCTCAGAGTTTTTCCTATTTCAGTAAACCCCACTTCTACGTCGGAGTTTAATTTTTTTGGAATCAATGAAATTTGTTATTACATTTCGAAAATTTGGGTTGAAAAACATCGTTTTTTTCGGCTTTTTTCATACAAACATTTTTTTCTCTCATGAAGGTGTGTAGTATAATCATTCTGGTTGTTATAAATTGTACGGGTTCGGATGTCAACGTTTCGCGCATTGAGCGCAAGCGATTTTGCCACTTAGACCACGAACACGGTATAACTTCTCGTTAAAGTCATTCCTGATTTTATGGCTGAATTAAATGTTTTGCCAACATTGTCACGACTCGTTCCATCGATGCCATCCCTTCCGAAGGTGTTTCTCGCAGAATCGCAACGACCAGTCTAGTAATTTATGATCAGAAAATGCACAAGAAAACTACGCCAAAAACTTTAAAAACCGAGAAAACTTGTGCGACACGATCCGGGAGAATAATACAACGCCGTCCTGTCAACCTGTTGCACCACGCTAAGGTCAATTCAGGATATATATCGAACGTTTCGTACCAAAACAAATGGAGCGTTTTTTCCTTCTTATAGTCACTGTAGTCATCTGTAGACAACCTGTAGACACCCTAAGAAACCTGGTGACTACAAGGAACCTAGGAAGGGCTGCCTGTATACAGCGGTAGGCATCCGTAAACAACCTGTAGGCGGCACACCGACAACTCGCTGACGACTGTCCTGCTGACCGACAACTTGCTGGCGACTTCCTGCTGACCGACGAAATGTTGACCCGACAGTTTGTTGAAACGACAAATCGCTGAACGACTTTTTGTGAACACCGACAACTTGCTGCCGACAATTTGCTGACTTGAGAAACCCAAGAAACCTAAGAAACCTAAGAAAACTAAGAAACCTAAGAAACCTAAGAAACCTAAGAACCCTAAGAAACCTAAGAAATCTAAGAATAAACAACAAAAAGTTAAGGAAACTCAAAAACTAACGTCTCGAACTTGACAGCAAGTTGTCGGTCAGCAGAGAAAGTTTCAACAAAACATCGGTCAACAGCTTAGCCGAAAAGCAAATTGTCGGTCAACAAGTTGTCGGTCAGCGAGTTGTGTAAGTCAGCAACATGTCGGTCAACAAATGGTCGGTCAGCAAATTGTAGGTCGGCGAATTGACGTGCTACCCCTGTAGGCACCGTTGTAGACACGCTGTAATTATACATCCTAAGAAACCAGGTGACTACCGATAGTACTACAGGATGTCTACAGCCTGTATACAGATGTCTACTGTGACTACAAGAAGAGAAAAGACGATTCACTTTTTTCCTTTGGTACGAAGCGTGCCACAAATGTTTCAGGAGCATTGGCCTTGGCGTGCATTACGCATGATCACCGATGTATTATGAAAATTAACTATTATGAATGGTTGATGCAATGAAATCTTTAATCTTCTACAGTACTCACACTCACAAGTTCTACAAATAAACAATAAAAATATCATTCACGAAAAAAAAACAGACAAGGTCGGCCAAATGAACAATATAAACACACATTATTGCTTGTTTTCGAATTAACCATTTGCATAACAACATCCACGCAAAAAAAGTTGAATTAGAATACTGTATACAGCAGACGACGATGGCACCGACAAGCAGTCAAACGTTACTATTTGCGGAGGCGAAGCATCTGCTGGATGCAGAGCAGTTTGGTAACAGCCTGCTTACAATCCGCATCGCCATCCTGGACCTCCTTCGACTGTTTACCGAACAACTTGATCAAAATACCTCGGGCTTCGCTGCAGAAATCCATATTAAGAGCCCACACGGTGGCCGCGGCTACGTCGTGCTTCTGGATGTCCAAGCTCGACATCCGGTCCACTCCAATGTTTAGCATTGGCTTGGGGAGCGCATCAACGACAGACAGTCCGGCTGACATCAGGAGGCGTGCGCGAATTAGTGAATACTCTGGGTATATTTTCCTGCAAGGACAAGTAATAACCATATAGGCAATAACAGCCTCAATAACTTCAAGCGCACTCTCACTACAAAATAGTAAATAATAATAATTCAGCCTTGCAGTATGCTGTACTTGCAGTATTGTTGAGGGACTATTTTTCCGCTAAAGTTTTTAATTGACCTTTGACGGTGTCTGCAAATCTCGATAAGAAGTGATTCCTTGTATTTGCAGACGTTAAGCATTAAAACCTAAAACCTAAACATTAAAGAAATAGCCGTCGTCATTAACTTCTATCGGGGTATAGGGTAAAGTACTCAAACACCGGCAGCATTTCCTTTGAAAAGATCAAGGCAGTCAGTTTGATTGGTTAATGGAGTGTTAATGGGAGTGTCCCGGTACATAGCCTTAAATTCGTGTATATCGACGGGAGCTTTCGGTTTTCGCACACTTTCATACACTTTTTTGGATTGCTTTTTGACAATCTGTAGCCAAATGATTTGCGAACGTCGGCGCGGACTCCGCTTTCGCGCGGAACGTTTGGATGCGGAGTTATTGGTAACAAAATTCCAAAAAGTTTAAATGCATGTCGGCGCAACGAAAGCCTCATTATAGACCGATCTCTTCTTATCGATCTACACCAATTTATTGCTATGTAACAGGTTATTTTCCTGATTTAGTAAAAAAGCCTTACAGCGGTACGTGCGATTTTCACGCCTTTACTAATAAGTCTCACCACCAGCAGAACTGATTTTGGCTCCGAGGGCCGCCTCTGAGCTCCGTTATGCAGAGCGTTGCAATACTGATGTGCTTATTCGCGTATTGAGAATTCCATTTATTTGTTGATTGAGAAATTTGAAATTTACCGTACGCAGGCAGTAACGCAGCCAACCAATTCCACGATCGTTTTCAAGCCCTCCTCCAAGCGGCACTCAACATAATATTTGTTCGGTAATTCCCGGCCGCAGACGTAGCGGAAATGCGCATCGGGCTGCAGGATTCCGGCAGCGTCCATGTCCATACAGACCTGCAAGACCATGGCCGAGTAGGACTCCATCTCCGAGCTGGCCGTAATGGTCTCATACCGCAGCATGAACTGATGAAACTGCGTCAAGCGGTCTCGATTGATGGCACCGCATTCGAAGCAGGCGTGGTGTGCGCGGATATCGCTGGGAATGCGGTTGCTGCAGCCCTCCGTCACGCAGCGTAGCGGATTAATCTCAGCATCCTGCGAAAACATATGGACTAACGTAAATTTACAGGAAAAAACTGAAGATGCTGAGTAGCGGCGTACACATTCTGGCGAGCATCGGCGACAAGTACACGGATGACCGAATTTCTTCTCGAATGCAGCACGTCGCTCCGCTCGTGTCTGGCAAAATGGATCCGGATGCTCATTGTAACGCAGCTGCAAGATATGCTGACATTATAAAGTTAAATGATGCTTGCGTTTTCAAATTCGGCGACCGACACTTCCTCGAACAGACACAATGTCGACCCGTCACAATATCGAGCTACCGTTTAGCTAAACCGTCTCAGTTTTCTTAGGCACTTAGGTTTTCATAAACTCTTTTAAGGTTTCTTCGGTCGACGATTCGTTCGTAAGTCGGCGAAGTGTCGGTAAGCCGTTCAGAAATTTAAGACGTTATTTGTCATAAATTACAAAATATTTATCTCAACGTGTAAGCAATATAATCAGTTCACAGATTATAATTAATTCATGTTGCACGAAGCCGACTCACGTCTCGAAGTCCAGTATACTGCGGAATGTCTTCTGCGGCATGAATAAACAGCCGTCGTCCATGGAAGGTCAGCAACACATTGATGTCCCAGCACACTGGTGTCATCCGCCGCAGCGATGCCTGTGGAAAAACGGCTAAGCCGATCGGTCCGCTGACGCCACAGAACTTCGTATCGTAAATGTATAGAGCGTTATAGTGGAGCAGTCCATAATAGTTCAGAACGTCTGCTGCGGGTACGCCGGTTAACATGGAGTTCTCCGACTCCCACGCCAGCATATCCCTGTAAACAGCACCAACACCTCCGAATTTAGCCGGATATGGCTAAAACACACGGGAAAGACACATCTTACGCTGGCGACATAAGCTGCTCGTATTCTGATTGTGCGGGATTCGCTGGCAGCATGGACAGCAGATCTCTGGCGGATTTGCGACCCATTCCCGGGATATCCATCATCGTGTTCAACTACGTAAAATGGACGAATAGAACACAACAAACAGAAACCAATGCGGGCAAACTAGTTTTCAATTTTCCCTCTCGCAGTTTTTTTAAATTTTTAATTTCGAGATGTGCAAGATTAAGGCTTCAATCCATCGAGGGAAGTTTGGAATACTTAAAGTCTTAAACTTAAACATCTTGATTAAGTTTCTGCTTCTGTTAAAATTTCTCCGATTTTCAGGAATTTATTTGCTTTCTTGGATTTTTCGTCAACTGCGCGCGAAATAGACGGTATTTCATGCATTAATCGTATCAGTTGAGGACCCTGATCATCGTGTATTAGTATTACCGACGCTATCAAACGAAATTCAATTCCACACTGGAGAAGTGTAGGTGCTATCGCTTGATAATTACAGCTTCTAGAATCAACTGTCACACCTTGCCGAAAAAAGCGGAAACTGCATAGCGCACTAACCTTGATTTTGTTGGCGAGCTTGGCGATGAGCTCTTGTGGCACCTCCAGACCATACTGCGAGGAGTGCACGATGATGTCATGCTCCGTGCCATTCGTGCTATCAGTCGCGGTCTTCAGCAGGGTGCATTCCAGTTTATGCTCCAGCTTCCAGTCAGTAGACTATGTACACAAAAACTTTAATCTTCTTCTTGTCGCAGTGAACGTCATCTTCGTGTCGTTCAACAATAACCGCGACCGTCTTAGAAATTTACAGTAATTCCTGGCGCCACTACGTACAGATCGCCCATCTGGCCAAAAAACACGAGTAGCTCAGCAAAGCTACACATGATACATCATACCTGGCAAGTGACGCTGCAGTAACGGTGGAGTCTGCATCTTGAGCACGTGCGCAGTTCCTCGCTCTGCCGCAGACAGTAAGCACAGCGTGCTTGGTATTCGTCGCTCTCCAGCACCCACACGAAGGGCTCACAGCGCAGTACAAGATCCCCCGCCGCGAACGAACGCCTGTCAATGGGCTCCTTCGTTTCCATCATGAATTCACGACGCACTAATATCGCACTGCTAACAATCGCACATCTATTATAGGAGAGTACGAGTCTGAGTCTTTGCTGTGAGAGCATTGAGCAGGTCTGTAGTAAGTACGAAAATGCGTCAGCCGGACTGGACTAGCCCGTACTCTGCAATTCTTAAATCTCAGCCGGCTGCTCTACCAATGCTACCATGTCTGTTGCGCAAGCGGATATAAGTAAGTATACTGGAATATCAAAATGGTTTAATGGCGGAGTTACAGTTTTTACGCAATGCGCTTAAGAATCAACTTCAGAGGATCATTTTCACAGCACTTGAAAATAAAAACGTTTCCTGCTAGCTTATTCCCGAGTTTCTTTATTCCCGTCCTGCAGCATAACCTCGTATTTAACGGTAAAAAATCTGCATGTATTAAATTTTCATCTCGTGCGAAGTCGTCCCAGTGCTATCAGCTAAATGGAGAAGACATTCCCATAGCTGATTCGGCAAAATATCTCGGAATTTACCTTGAGCGTAATCACAAATGGAAGTTACAGTGTGAAAATGTCTCTAGCAGGATGTTAAAACGACTAAGATATCTTAATACATTGTTCCGACGTCGAGACTTGTCGGCGCGTTGCGTATTATATAAAAACGTTGTTCTTCTCGTTTCCGACTATTGTGCATCCGTAACATTTCCAGCCCAGAAAGGTCTAATCGATACTATCGAAAATGTGCAAAGAAGATTTCTTAGGTCGCTTCCTTTCAAATGTCAACCGAGTAATTATGAAACCAGGCTAAAAGAACTTGAAGGGGAACCGATCGTGCGGCGAAATCTCAAACACAGCTTGCAACTGACATAAAAATTTTTGTTCAACCTTATTCCATACGGAGATAAATTATTCCGCAAGGATACTGCGCGTTGTGGTGTTGCAGGTGCGACGCGTCATCGGCAGAAGATGGCTGAACATCCGTGCCCGATAATTCCTGCTGGATCAACGTTTTGCGGCCTGACACTTCCACCTTCGGATAAATCTTTCGCCTATCGGATGGCAAGGATATGGAACGATTTATACCTACCGGCAGAACCCTCCGGGAAACTGACTAAATTTAAAACGGCTTTAAATGATGTTAACTGGAAGACAGTGAAGTCCCTTAAGAAGTTTTATCATACTGATCATGTGCAGTTGTTGGAAATATGAATGAATGTTATTTTTTCTGCCTATCGTTGTTCGATATTTTGTGTTATATTTTTTAATTATGACGAGTCTGCGGCCTCGGATTGGGTCTTACCCAGATTGTGTGCGGACGTTAAACGATTAAACTTAACTTAACTTAGCAGCAAATGGAAAGTTCAAAACGCAATTCAGAAATAAAATGTAGAACTAAAAAGCCCCGCTTTGACGCATACTGCGCAAAATTAGCGCTTCTAATTGTCTTTTCGGACCACTGCTGACGATTTCCGCGCGCTAGTGTTCATGCTGTTCCACAGGACCACGTGGTGGATTGATTTTATTAATCAATTTTGATACACGAAGTCGCGAACCGGACGATAAAAGCCGGAGAAACGACTCCCGCAAGGCTAAGTGCTACTGACTGGAGAGTACAAATCTGAAGAGCCCACATATTCAAGCCGGACTCTGGTAGAACATCAATTTCGTACCGAAATCTGTGGCCAGAATGGACCCTATTGGCCAGCAATGGTCGCAGGAACACACCTGTACAAAAGCGGCAAGTTGAGCCGGTTACCTTAAAAAAAGTTTTTTAAGCAGGCAACCCGGGTATAAAAGGCACAGTTGTCTCGGAGTGGCGTCTACGCTGCATAGAGAAAACACGGCGGAAACAACAACTCCTCAAACAAATCGCTTTTATTTCATTGAAATAAATGCTATAATCACATCAAAACACAAATCTAATGAAAGGGCACGAAATCATCAGAAGGCTAAAGGAATCGATGTTGTCGATTCCGATGCTGGCACTCGACTGGACTGGATGGAGCACGCGGTGGATCTGCGTGTGTAATTGCCAATGGCGAGCCGATGGTGAGGCGAATGTGCCGGTCTCATCTCATTGAGCCATCGCTCAATCCTGTGCTTTATGCACGGCACTCTGACAGTTGTACAGTAGTGTTGCACGGGTGTAAGTGACGGGATGACTGTCTCACCTTGACCACGGTCTACGGTAATGGAGAATTTGAAATGCATGAATATTACGCTTTATTACAGTATAATAGAGGACATACATTTTAAAACATCACTGACAACGATGTCACCCACCGTATTTTTCACTGCATAAATAGTGCTTAACATTGTCGTCTATAGATGTTCTGGATTAATAATATCCTACAATATATATTCTAAGCCAACACTTATAGGCAAAGGGTTTAATCGGGAAACAAGTATGTGCAAGGTCAATCAGAAGCACTGCTCTGAAAATGTAAAATCCACATTCCACTGGTTAGTACCGTACATATTCTTCTGTGCATCTCCGACATGTGCACGGATATCCGAAAGTCTTCTCAAAACCGCTTCGTCGTTCGGCTCTTGTCATGGAAAACGGCTGTGATGCAAAACCACTAAATCGCAACTGAAAAAAAACCGTACTTTGTTCCACCATGAAGTAAATGCACACTGCAAAGGTAAAATAATTTAATGCCGCCTTGACATAAATAGTTAATGTCAATTGTCATGTGACCTATTTTAGTCATTTTCATGGTAAACGCATCAGCTGGTGAGCAATCTGCAATTTTTTTAAAACTCAGAAGTTAGAAACTGTGGCGTAGTGCAGTGGCACTTGTGCCACGAGAATGTGTTGTCCTTTAGCGACCTCTGTGACTGTGTGTTGTCCGTCTAGCATGGCAACTGCGAATAGCAGTATGCCCTTGTTTTCTTGTTGACAACAATCTGTTGGTTTTGTGCGCCCTCAGTGGTGGTTCATAATAAATGTATTATGCCGCCACCTCAAGTCGTGACAGAAACGCTAAGAGCAGATATATTGGCAACGACCAAACTACTCGAATGTCCAGTAAATTTTATAGCTTCGCTCACTTCTCACTCGTTTGATTGCACCAAAAGCAAAATAATAAAAAAGCAAAAATAAAGCATACAAGGAAGTGGAAAACCGGGTTTGCCCACAGCTCGGTATATGGTCCTACGTCTTCGTACAGTGGCTCACTGTTTGGTATTTACGAATAGCTGTCGATTTACCCTGCTTACCAGAATCTCACTTTAGGAAAATGTAGTGTACGTAGTAATAAAATTCGTACACATTCAAGAGAACTTTTGCTTCTGCGCGCTCCCCAACACTAGGATCAACTGTTTTATGATATTCTTCTACCAAATGTTATGTTCGTTTACGTAGCAAGAAATCCGCTGGTGTGCGCAACATCTGATTGGAAAGCTAAATGCGAGATAAAATTTCAAAAAGTTTAAAAGCATCCACGGACCACGTGTACCAGTAGTCTCACTATGTACCAATTTTCTTTAGGTTTCGCAGGCTAACGCACTCAGCCATGAAGATCGTTCTCAAACCGATTAAGATTAAGGTCTGCAAAATGATTTCCAAATTCTAAAACAAACTGTGAAATTTCGAATATTCGTTCTAAGACTATGAAATATAGTGAATCGAAACTGTTCGAAATATAGTGAATCGAATTTATGGAATTTTGTAATTTGTGGATCCCGCCTTACGGCTTTTCTTGTGCCTGCTATTGTACTTTCCAGTATGTTGCCTTTTTTTTAAGTTTATATTATTTCGGTTTCTAAGAGGTCAAAAATCTGCACAGCAGACTGTTTTCATAATATTGCATCGCATCAAAAACCAGTCATACAAAAGCGTCTTTACTACATCGGTAGACGAAGTAGTACAATTTGATCATCGTATTGTTTTGTGTATTGTGACTGGCTGCTGCCGAATAAAATCATTACAAGTATCGTTAGATGTTATTGACATGCTATGCGGAAGTCGCACCGCGGCAACCGCACTAGATGACCAAACCTACTCAATCGGTAGAGTGGGAATATGCTCTGGACTCCGTAAGTGGTATTACTGCCTACTTCCGCTAGGTACGAGCGGATTGCTGTGCTTAACGAAAGTTACCGAAACCAAACACTCAGGAACTTCCCAAATGTTTAATCACCAAACTGAACGAACGAACAAACAGAACAGAACGAGATATGAACTTCCTTCTAACCTAGAGTCACACGACCTTTCAGCTAGAAACAAGCTCACAGATTTAGTTGAAGTTAGAAACTTCAGACTGATTCGTTAAACCAGAATCATGGATGGAATTAGCGATGAAATGCAGCAAGTCATACGTAACGGAACAGACAACACGTACGTAATACGCGCAACTACGCATAGCGCGTTATTATACTAAGCACCTAGAAACGAAGCGAGTTAACTTACATCCTTCCATCCGGTGAACACCGGAATATCTTCCGTGGCAAGAACGACCATACGGCGCTTTCGACAGATAATGACCACATTAACATCCCAGCAAACCGGCGTCATGTGCCTCTGCGGTACCACCGGATACACCGCGAGCACAGCCTCCCAAGGTGCACTGCTGATGGACGGACAACTCAAGCCCTGCGCATTACGGGCCACAACGGCTTGGTAAGTCAGGATAGCCGCCATGGCGATCCCGGATTGCGGTTCCACAGTTGGCAATCTGCAAAAAGAAATTTCCAAGAACATCTAGACCGATGAGTGTCAAAAAAGCACGAACGATTGCAGTCTTTGTATTATGCGTGGGTCTTGTCGAAAGGAATCTTGCGGTAGCATATCTACCAGCTGCTGCGCTGAACGCTGTCCCTGGCCGGGGATTTTGACCATCGCGTTTAATTTCGTAAAAATTATCAAGTCACATATTTGAATATGTACAAAGGAATTACAGTGATAAACCAATTATACGTTGTCAGGTTGTTAAAAGTTTTTAACAATTTTCTTGCAGTTTTCATAGCCAAGGGCGGTGGACTCGATGTCAAAAAGCAAGTGGCCAAGCCCAAAACAATGATTGGAACTTGGGTAACTGTTCATAGTAATAATATTTTTAATAATATTTAATTAATGCAAACGATGCTAAATAAGTTACAATAAACTGCAATATAACGCATTTAAATCGGCAGAATTTACCTTGACTTTGTTGGCCATCTTGATAACCAACTCCGAAGGGATGTTCTCGTTGCAGTCTATTCCGCAGCGGTCCATCACGCGCAGTACCTCCGTCTTCGTTTTCGCATCCATCTTCGCCAGAATAGCGCACTCTAGTTTATGCTCCAATTTCCAGTCGGCAGTCTATCGTGGCGGTCCAAGAATTACACCGACGAATTATAAAAATTGCAAAAAATATGGCCACGGCTCTATAGCAGCATAGCGCGTTATAGAAGCATTGGTTGCTTAATTTTTTAAAAACTGAGAAAGCCGAAGACACCAGTTCAAGAAACTTACATTACTGAATTATGGTATATTGCTGAAGCCTGAAAGCAAGTTGTTGAAGCATGTTACTGAAAGTAGTGGAAGACACCAGCCTGAGAAACGTACGCCGGCATGAGTTCGGCAAAATATTTTAACCAATTGTGTGCAGTGTTCATTCAGGAGTGACCTGCAGAGAACCCAGCTGCGGTATTCGCGAGTTATTTTTACCTGACAAGTGACATTGCAGTAGCGGTGCACACGGCACCCGGAACATGTCCGGAGAGATTCGCTCCGGCGCAAACAAAGTGCACAATGGGTTTTGTAGGCACTGGATTCCAGTGTCCACACGAAGGGATCACACGCCATGACAACATCTCCAGCGGCGAACGAACGCCGATCTGCCAGTGATGGACCGCCGCGGCTCCCCATTTCGACGGTTATCGAGCTCTAATTTTTGCAGATCAAAATCGGAGAGGAACTCTTTACGGAAATCCACTCTATAGTGACGGCGCAACACTATTACGCTGTCACAACGTTTCCTCAAAAAGGCAATGTAAGCGCTACAGCAAATTGGAGTAATTTAGTCAAAATGAAGGTAGCAGAACACTTCGAAAATAAACTGCAAACAAGGTGCCAGCACTGTATGTAGCACACTAAGTACTGCTGTAGTCTGAGTCAAGAGATTGTAAGAGACTGACAAGGGATGGAATGCGGTTCTCAGAGCTGGTAAAATATAGATCCGGGTGGGCGTTCTGCTAACCCGGAAATAATAATCTCGACCTCATGACCTTTACTGCTCTGAAAAAGAAAAATCTTAAGCAGATGGTAGCCACAATCTAGCGGCCGGAAAAAATTTCGCATTTATTTTCGACCGATCAAAACGAGGAGACGGCCTGAAAGAAGATGTAAAGTTAGTACTGGCTTTCCGGTGTAAAGCAGCATAATGTCAGCATAACAAACAATACTGTACTTAAATGATGCCACGGTTCGTATTGTTATGATTTTGCGTTTTGAGCCACGTAAAAGTTGGGTGTTCCAAGTTTAAAGCACCGTATACTGTTGCACAGTTTATTTAGTGTGTAATGTGAGGTATGCATTTGTAACTTTTCTTATTATATGTACTGAAAAACCTGAAATCCGCCTGGAAGTGTTCTTTATACTGCATGTAAATTATACTCGTAGTTATCAGTTTTAACCATTTTTCCGCAAACCAACTTGGACAGCTTCACGAGGCGCATACCCCAACTCTTGATTCTCTGACATACCTGTGCTTGGTATCGTTAGAATCCTCAGAAATTAATCAACATTTTTGCAAAATTAACTTTTCCCCAGCTAAAGAACTGGGGTTCAAAGATCCCGGAGAAACCAACGCACACATGATGGCTGACTTCGATCAGAACGTCAGCATACGCCATACGCATTTGTGCGCAGAATCTGCGACGTCAGACTGCAAATCTGTCGATTCTGTATTGTGTTTATCTCGATAGCTATCACCTTTTTTGCCCTATCGCGCGCCAGCGTCCAGTGTTGCATTGATTCCGATGCAGCCAGTCGATGCCAGTACGCGCAATGGGGTGAAAAGGTGCGATAGCTATCGACAAACACTGCTTTGTATTGCCCATAAAAGACGGTTGCGTAAGCACGCATCCGTAAATGGACGCCGTAGATCGTATTGCGGTCTGAACAGCGTCTGCTGAAATTCTGATCGAAATCGACCATTTTGTATGAGTTGGTTTCTCAGAGATCTCTGAATCCCAGTTCTTTAGCTGGGGAAAAGTCAATTTTGCAAAATATTGCTTAATTTCTGAGGATTCTAACGATACCAACTACAGGTTGATTAGAGAATCAAGAGTTGGGGTATGCGCCTCGTCAGTTGATTACAAGGATTACAAATGGCGTACCAAACTTAAAACTAAGTTTCACCTATTTTGCATCTCCGTCCACAAACACATTTCAGCACTCCCATTGCCGTTGCTGTAGGAGTACGAGAGGAATGAATGAACCTCGTATAATCGTATTCATTCCTCCCGTACTTCTAGAGCAACGGCAGTGCTAGCACAGATATTTTTACTGACATCGGCGATGAAAAATTCAGGAAAATGACCCGGTACATAGCGTCAAAAATGGGATACATACACTAAAACTTTGGCTTTCGCGCACTCCGAATCACTTTTTTTGTAATAGTTTTGGTCATTCATTCTAAAGCTAAATGATTTGTATACATGGTTCAAAAAACCGTATGCGCGGTTGCCGAGATATGGCGTACTAAAATGGGTGAAAAGTCTAATTGCATTGCTGTGTACCAAAAGTCTGGTTATTACTCGATCTGTTTGAAACTCTGCTGCAAAAGACATATTGCTATAAAGTCGGGCTATGGTAGAGGCCCAGCTGATAATACACGTTTTCCAAAGGTGAATTTTTGTCAACAATACCGAGAAAAACCTAATTTGCCAAAGGTACAGAAAGCTATATAAGAATCTCAGGTATGAGTCTGTATGACAGGCAGGTCTTTTTATTATGGGAGGAGTTTTGAAAGGCGTCTTTAATGCGTGACGAGCGCAATGATAAAACGTTACGTAGAATGACATGAATGGGCGTGAAGCCGACGAATGATTTTGCTTTAAACAATTAAGAAATTCCAGTAAACATATAAAGTTGGATTCAATTTTTTTACTTGGCACACCCCTGCAACGTTTTCTCAACGGATATGAACTCTTTTAATCCTGCACATTTAAGAAATTAGAAGTACACAAAATACATACAGACTGTGTAATAACGTACACTGTTGTAACCTAAACTCCATTCTCTTGGAAAGTGCAGGTTGTCCCGCTGGATGTGACCGGAGTCAGCTGTGCTGCATCGGTATCAACCGTTGGCGTGCCGCCCGCCGAACTACCAATACCAGGACCATAGGAGGTCACCATGACGTCCAGGGTGCAGGTCTGACGGCCAACCACGGTGGGCGTGATGGCGATACTGTAGCAAGGATTTCCATCGGTCGACAGCGTAACAACGTTGTCCAGTGCTGCCGTCTGGATACCAAGATAACTGCACGGTGACGTGTTCCTCCTCGAGCGAACCACAGTAACCTCCTCGACGGCTCTGGGGACCCGGTTAACGACTTCATTAAACGGTACATTCGACGCAATGTGCGTAGCTATGACGGTGATTTCTATCACATCTTCCACCCGCGTCGTGTAGGTTGTTCCTATGGTGCGGATACACATGGAATTGACAAGGGTTTCCGCGAAAGTCGTCGAAAGCGTAAGGCAAGCCGGCACGCAGACCGTGGGCGAGCAGGTTGTCACCGTCTCGGTAATCCGACGCCAGTGCGTGCTGATGTGACAGGTTGAGGGGGCTGAGGAGGTGGTGCTGCTGGTGGGCGTTGGCTGGATGCACTGGCTGCAGTTGCTCTTCGGAGTGTACACGTGCTGGCCGCGCCATCGTGCTGGCCCGTCACCGGATCCGGGAGCGGCGTAATACGGCGTGGTCGTCGGCGTCCATTGAGGGATTTTCACAGGGGTCTTTGGCGATTGGTGGGTTGCGTAGTGCGGGTTACCCAGTGCCATTCCTGGCTGAATGCCAAAATCGTCCATCGTGTCTCTGTACCGGGGCATAACGTGGCCCTGTACCCTCTGCAAGACAGCAGAATATAAGTCACTGGTCTCTTAAGGAACAAAAAATCGCAGAAGAACTGCGAATGTGTGGCTACGCGCCTAGTAGCGCGTAGCAACCCGCATGGTTGTGCTGACCTTTAGAGGACGCATTTTATGTGGTACTACGAGTATTTCTAGAAGATCATCATTTGCCAGTATCTATCCGGCCAGAGTGGCACAATAAAGACCTGTGTTAAGGATCTTAAGGCGTGACAGGTATCTTAAGGAACGACGTGACAGGTATCTTAAGGAACGAAAAAATCCGCAAAAGAACTGCGAATATATTTCAGTTCGTGTGGAAATCGGCTGGATTCTAAACTGGGTTTTAATAAATAATACTTATGCAAAATAAATACTGTAACCCTTCTTATTCAGTTATGACAATTCCAATAAAATGAACAAATCTGTGTGAGCGTTGTCCTCAGGTAAATCAGTAAACTTACCGCAGACGATAAAATTATTAGTAGAAGACAAATGCATTTCGCAGCCGGCAGCATTTTAGGGAGTGGAAGGTAGAGGATCAGATGATCAGTATGACAGCTGCGTTACGGTTTACTTGTGGAAAGACACAGTGTTTACTGCACAACGTTTTAATACTGCGGGACGGCAAACAAAACGACATGTATTATATTACTCGTATATGGATTAACTGCCACTGGACTAGTACTACCACTGTTAGTACCGTTCCGTTGGTATAGCTGTTAAACTAAGTACGAGTACAAACATTGTTGATAACTATCAGGTTCTACTGCCGTACTGCAGCCAATCTTGCTGGCAGTGACCTATTTACGCATAATGTGCTCGATTTATCTAGTAATTTGAAGCGCGAAAGTGATCCGCGTACAATGCCTCTCGATGCCATCCATAGGCGGTCGTTCAACTCGCAAAAAAAATCCAGTGACATGAGAAAAAAGTGGCATTGTTACCAGTAATTGGGGACTACACGCGGCCCATGTTCAAAATGACGTTTATCTACTTCTGGGGAAAGCATTGCAGAACAGAACGACACTTCTATTAATTTGTGTGTAGCATAACGTACGTATGTAGTATTAACTATTAGTCTATTACCAAAATACCGTAATGTAGTTATTTCTGTGTCTCGTTTGATCACCACTAGGCATCTCTGTCCAAAGTACCGTACAACTCGGTACATGGTACAACTTTTTATGCGTTTTGAATGAATGGTTTTTTTACTATGTTTTTACTACGTTTTTCCCCTTTAAATACGGTATTTGGTATGTTACCGTATTTTACACATGTTACTTAATTACTTGATATAGGTACACTAATTTGGTACGAGGCAAGTGTCCCTTAAATTAATAGACGCGTTTTGCCTTACGCGTTTTGCCTTCTGACGTCCGAATCGTGAAAAAATTAACAAGCAAATCTGAGTTTGTTAAAACGTGTGCCCTAGTGTTCGAAACGTCAGCCGAAGGATGCGAGTTTCTTGAAAAAACTGGTAGCATAAGGTTCGATTTTTCAGTGTGCCCAGTAGAACGTTTTGTCGTGAGATGTTACAACTGTGATCATGCCGGCCACGTAGCAAAATTCTGTAAGAGTCCTGATCGACGTAATATCAATAACAGTACTGATGGCGTGGGTTCTAATGGAGCCGGCGATCTAGCCAGTTCAAAAAACCTCTGAATTTTCTAAAGTGTAATAATAAAAATTCTGACAACAATGGCCGCTTAAGACATTTTCGAAAAATCACTGTGAAATGCTCCAACATAAATAGTATTTATTCAAAACACGATAATGTAAAACAGTTTTGTT